TTGGTTCAAATCTATTCCAGGACAGAATAATACCAATAAAACTATGATAAATTTTGGATGAAAAGTTATTCTAATCTAAGTCAATTTCATGTCTAGTGAAGTTAGGTGTTTCGTAATTATTGGCTTAACAAGTGAGATTCAACTATATAGTTGTGGAATTGAAGATATGAGTAAAGTTAACTTAGTGTGTATCAAATGTGTAAATATGAAAAGTTTGTATAGATTAGATAACATCAATAGGAATTGAATTATAATAGAATGTTTGCCTCAAATACAAATTTACAAAATAAGAGTGTGTTAATAATTCTAGAAGCATATGTAATTGGTATAGGACTGTTTGCTTTGATTTGCTTACTTAAGAATTTGGAATAAATCTTAGAGATCACACCCAGGGTGATGTAGCACAAGTTGGAATAAGATTTAAGACAAAAAGAAAACTTAAGAAAGGATCCAATCGACAATCATAGGGATTAGCAACACCCACAACTATATGGCTGTAATTGTCGCAACTATAATCACAAGGTTATTTAGGCACTCAATTAAATGAAAGAAAATGAGTAGTTTTTATTTAATGATGAACCTTGTATGTATTTGTAGAGTGCCTAAGTAATCTAATGTGTCTAGAATCCTTTAATTAAAAAAAGTGAAATAAGACTTCTTATTAAATGAGAAATGAAGGCAACTAAACAACAAGCATATTCTTAATAGTTTCTATTACCATTAAATGTCTTTAAGTTGAATAGTGGGAAAAGAGGGAAACCCTTTGCTTTAACCAAACCTTGAAAGTGGATGATAACAGGAGATAAATAAGCTAAGTACCCTAAATTATACATAAGAATTATAAAATCATAAATATCATGATACTAATATATAAAAGTTCTAGAATCTTCTTGTTAAGTATCATTCTCCTCCACTTAGTAAAACCTCATTCTTGAGTTCTGAAATGTCGAAGCAGCAAGAAGGTGAAAGCTTGCAGATGTTTTTCTAAATAACTGAAATATGCAAAATGAAATGGTTGCAAAGAAACAAGGAATGCTTCCGAAACAAGGACTTGAAGAAGTGAATCAATTAAGAATGAGAGAAGAATAGTTTGACTTTTCTTGTTATTGTTATGGACCAACAAAATTTCTGGGGTAGTACTCTTCAAGTGAGAAAAAACAATATAGTTATCAATCTCAACGTTATTTCTCACTAGTTAAATTGAGAAATGTGTTTTAGGTAACTTTGTTTGATTAAAAAAAATCACAACATCTTTCATAATCTCCTTAATCTATTGAATTGCTTTCAGTTGCTAGATGGTCAATGGTAATGTTCTTAGTTACTTCATCTGTTAACTTCCTCTTATTAGTTAGATTCTTAATGATGATGACATTATCTTGCTCCATAAAACAGATAGCTTATGCCGTTATGGCATTATTGTTATCATGCAAGTTAATGATTGATGATTTTATTACCCACATAAAAATGGTTAAACTTATTGGCACAACTTTCAAGGATTCTCCTAAACCCATGAGGAATCGACAAAACTTCTTTATCTTATAGGAATATAGAATACAATTTTACTTCTATGTAATTAGGGTATTCGTTGATTTCATAATCGAACGAGATCATATTGGACCAAGGACTGATTAAGGGTAGTGGACTAGACTAAAGACTTACACTGTTTTATTTTAATTAGACCAAAATGGATTAAGATTTTTTAAAAAAATTCTAATTAGAAAATAGATAAAAATAAAACAAATAAATTTTTTAGTAATTTTCATTTTTTAAGTTAGTCCATTTTTGTGCGGACCGTTCATGATTTTTTTCTCACTATTTAACATTTGTATATCAGTTTGTTTATGATTTTAATATGCCCAATCATCTTTCCTAAATTCTGATCCTAAAAGTCACAATGTCAATAGTCAAATATTAATTTCTACTTATACTTGTGTGATAACTTATTGATTGACATAAGATTAATACACAATTTTGGGAACATATAACACATTTTCTAGGATAAGGTAAGATTAAGCTTAATGTTGTCGTTGCTTGCAGTATTGAGGGACCATATGCTATGTATCTTCTTATTACGTAGACAGGGAATATATGTATGAAAATGTTTATAAGTATTGGTATATGATATGTGACTCATGAGTATAATTATCAAAAGGTTTATCTAAGGTATCTAATCTGTGTGAGAAGGAAAGGGTACCTAAATATTTTATTATATTCGTGGGCTTTTTAAGATCCTCCAATCGAAGTTCCATTTGTCCAATTTCAATTTTGAAAGCAGTGAGATCGACATGTGTTTCTTCTTCCTATTGGTTGACCATACGAACCTGTTTTGGGATTGTCTGTGAAATACTTTTGTATCTCCTCCATTTGCTGAAGGAAATGCATTTACCGTGTTATTTTCAACACTATCTTTGGAGTATCTGAGTTTTTTACAAAAAATACACCAAAGATTGTCTTTGTTGTCTGCTCATGAAGTTGAGTTCTCTGAGTGATTCACCTTCTTTATTTGTTGACGATTTTTAGAATCTTGTAAGATCAAGACTGAACTATCAATGGAGTAAGGTTCTAGCATGACCTCTCTTCTGCTCTCTTCCGCAATTCTGATGAAAATTACCTTATTGAGTGATGACATTTTCTTTTTTTCCAAGATTTGATTCTTATTCCATTATATTCAAGATGTAATCCTGCCAGAAATTGATATGCACTGTTTTTTTCTACTTACTTTTTGAGACGGGTTGCATTTTCTACTGCAATCCATGTTCAGGCTGTGATATTGATTCAGTTCTTGCCATTAGTCTTTTAACTTGTTAGAATATTCATTTGTTAACTTGTGCTCTTGTTTGGTGGACCGTGTCTTAACTGTTAGGTCATAAACTTGCGCGATGTTTTGACTTTAGAGTATATTT